GCCACTCTGCCCTATAGAATCTTGCTAGTTCAATAAGCATGGAAGGCTGAAGTGGAAGCACAGCCACAAATTCGGCCACAAACTCTTCTGTCAGTTCTGGGTTGAGCATCTGATTCCAAAGCACAAGCGCCCATTCACTTGCCTGGTTAAGACCATAGGCCTCTGCAACTATTAGGGCCTCCTGGAAGCGAGATTGCTCAACTAATGCTCGCCTGGCATTGGTTTCAGATAGACTGAGCCATCTAGAATCCGGCATTCTTATTTGGAGGGAAACAAGGGAAGCCTGGGCACACGCTCTGCATGTTTTATTGCCCGCATCAATGGAGGAGTGTACCTCAGCAGCTTCAATGTAATATCGCATAGAATCCAGGAGATCTTCATTCTGATCCCTGTCATAACGGCGAAACCAATGCTGGGAAGCCAGCACTGCTCTTGACTCCAACAATGATGCTGTTTCATGCTTCATGTCAAAGTGGTTATAGACCTGTAAACAATGATAGTGCATATATGTGACTAAGCAACCCAACAAGAATAATTTTCATGCATAATAGCACCAAGCACAAATAGCAAGTCAATCATGCTTGTACAAACCATGGCAAATGCATCAAGGTCATTGGGGTTAAAATGCTTTAACGATGTAAGAACAGACATTCTGAAACCTCTGACAGCCTCAGCAGTGCTTGTATTTGTATCTGCAGCAGCCGAGTACTTCCGAAGAAGAAGATCCAGCTGACCATTCTCAATAAGAATGCCAAGAATGAAATTTAGAGCATGAAAATTATCAACTCCTGTGATTAGGCGAGCCAAACATGGAAAATCACCCTCAGCAACATAAGCTTCAACCCTAGTTGCAGCAAGGGCTACAAGAACATCTACTCCATCCAGGCAGGCAGATGATCTGTAGAAGTGGTGTGATAGGATAAGAAGTTCAACCTGAAATCATTATATTTACCAAAGTTAAAAAATATTGCATTGATGAAAGGCCAAACAACAAAATTTCAGAGCTCAGACTCTAAACAAATTCTGATACAATTTAATTGGTAAAGTTTAGTGATTATTTATTAAAAAGATTAAAAATAAGAATCTGCACACGATATAATACTAAATTTATATCCACTGTAGGAACAATACCTCACAGGCATGTGGAATTTCCTGTCCAGTAATTACTAAACGCATCAATGCATGACCAATTTCAGATTCAGAAGGACAAAGCTCTGCCCACTTCAAGAAGTCTGAAAATCTCCACAAGAGAGGAGCTGGTCCTTCCTCCTTCTGAGAATCCATATATCCCCCACGATGTGCGGCCAAGAGACCCTGGAGAACATGGAAGAAAAGAGTACCAAACCTGAGGAAAACTGGGTTGAACCAGACTTTCTGAACTATGATCTAGTCAAACTAGAAGTAATAAAATAACACAGATTTTGCAGCAAGATGGTAAAGCCCTAAGAAAAGAAGTAGCCTACAAATATTCAAGCCTCTAGGCAAAATCCAGCATGGCATTTATAACACCTGATGGAATGAAAAATGAAGAATAGAGTCTTATCAACCCCCAATCCATTTGATATCCTGAAGTCCTTATTTGTGGCCAGCAACATAAAGAATGGATACAAGAAAAAACTAACCTTCAAAAAGGATTCTGCAAGTATTTGAGCAATGCTAGCAGCAGGCATAGAATGAGTTTGCACGAGAAGACATGCTTCCTCAAACGATTCTTGTGCTTTGAGAGAAAGTAGCTGCAGCAATTCAACTGGCTGCTTATCAAATGCTTCAGAGAATGAAAGACCCAAGACATTTGCAGCTTTTACAACTGCTATTATTCTCTTACATAATCCACGTCCGCCACCTTCAGTCATAATAGTTGCAAAACTCTCCAAGACCTGTAGCATCAAAGAATATAATAATGAAGATTTGAATCCTAAAACATAATGTTATCCATCCATAAAATGTATGATCTACACTTTTTTCCATTTGGAATCCCAGGGGACTTCATATCAATAAACAAAATGATGAAATATAGTTCCACCTCTGTGGTTTAACTTCATTACAATTCAACTTAATCCATGTGTTTTTTTTTCTTTTTTTGTTCTTTTGGGTGACATTCCTGCAGTTTAGAGGATGTTTGGCTTGACCTATCTTTTAGTCATAGAGCCTAATATATTCTCCAAGAACATGTTAAGTTCGTTTTTAGTGTTTTCTTAATATCCACAGTATATCTAAACCACTTATAAACTCTTGCAACAGCATTTTCAGAAAAATACTAAAGGGTTAATTTGTTTTTTTTTTTTAATTTAAGAGAGCTTATAGACACTAGTCTTGATCAAGTAATTGTATTACTTAAAAAACTTAGATAAATCCAGATTTTTGAAGTCCCAATGCTTGAACTATAAGAGTTTTTTTCTCTCACTCTTGAAGAAAACAAGGAGAGAATTGTGTGACGAGGAAAAAATCCTCTAATTTTCTTCTATTATACATGGGTACAAATGTGCCAAATATATAGGTCTTTGGCCAAGACAAAAACAGTTAAAAATTGTTAACATAAAACTAAAAGATTAATGTAGAGAGCACCCAGCTATCTTAACAATACCAGTTGTTTCTAATATAAGTATACATGTATATATACATTCTTACATATGAACATTCTACACTCCCCCTCAATTTAGGTTACATAAATGTTAAGTAACCCTATATTGGATACAAGATTATTGAACTCGCTTTTTGGTAGTGCCTTGGTGAGTACGTCAGCTATTTGTTGACTAGTCGGGATGTATAGGAGTGACACATCCGGACTTTCAATTTTTTCTCTGATAAAGTGACGACCAATCTCAACATGTCTACTTCTATCATGGTGCACAGGGTTTTTGGCCATACTAATAGTTGATTGATTGTCACACCAAATCCTCATAGCAATAGGAGCGATTGATTGTCACACCAAATCCTCATAGCAATAGGAGCAGAAAATTTTAGTTCTACTAGAATCTTTTTAAGCCATACTCCCTCACATATTTCATGTGCAAGTGATCGTAATTCAGCTTCAACGCTGCTTCTTGATACAACAGATTGCTTCTTATTACACTAAGTGACTAAATTATCCCAAACATAAGAACAGTAACCAGATCTGGATCTTCTATCTGTCACAAATCCATCCCAATCAGCATCAATATACATCTCAATATCTCTGACCATATTCTTCTAAAAGAATAATCTTTGTTCAGGTGTCATCTTTAGATACCTCAAAATACGATAAACAATACACATGTGTTCTTCAGTAGGTTGAGACATTAACTGACTTACAATACTAACAGTGAAGCAGATGTCAGGTCTTGTATGAGCCAAGTAGATAAGTTTGCCTACAAACTTTTGATATCTTTCTTTATCAACAGATTTACTGTCACTTTTGGAACCAAATTTAGCATTTGTTTTCATAGGAGTCTCAGCAGGTTTACAACCAAGTATACCTGTTTCATTCAGTAGATCTAAGATGTACTTCCGTTGAGATATAAATTTTTTTTTCTTGGATCTGGCAATTTCCATTCCAAGAAAATACTTGAGCAACCCAAGGTCTTTGATTTCAAATTTTTTATCTAAAAAGTCTTTCAGTTTCTAAATTTCTTCACTATGATCACCTGTAAGGATAATATCATCTACATTAACAATTAGTATAGCTCTTCTCCCTGTGATACAATATTTGACAAAAAGGGTATGATCAGATTGACATTGCTGATATCCCATATGTTTTACTGTCCTAATGAATCTGTCAAACCAAGCCCTTGGAGACTATTTGAGGCCATACAATGCCTTCTTTAATTTGCATAACTTTTGAAGATTCATTTTGAGTCCAAGTGAAACTTCCATGTACACTTCTTCTTCTAGGTCACTATTAAGGAAAACATTTTTTACATCAAGTTGATAGAGAGACCAATCAAAATTAGATGTTAAAAAGAATAATACCCGAATTGTGTTGTGCTTGGCAACATGAGCAAATGTCTCTTGATAGTCGATGTCCATATGATTGAATAAACCCTTTAGCAAAGCTTTGTAGCGACTTACACTACCATCAGGATTGTACTTGGTGGTGAAGATCCACTTGCATCCAACAGGAGCCTTCTCTGAAGGTAAATCAAATAATTCCCATGTCCCATTTTTCTCATGGGCTGAAATTTCTTCTTGGATAGTCTTGAGAGTTTCATAAACTATTCTTGGTTCAGGAGGGATGCTATCAAACTTACTCACAAGTGCATGATACTACGAAGACAGCTTGCTAAGAGACATTATCCTGTATGGGATGCATAGTACAAGAACAAACACCATTTCGTAATGCAATAGGTAAACCAATATCATCAGTAGAGTCAGAAATCTCATTACCTGTGTTATTATGGGTGCTTGGTTCAGGAGTTGAGTCATTGTAGAGTATAGATTGTTCAAAATATTTCATCATCCAACTCAAGCCGAAATGACCATGGATGAGCAAAACTCCTCTCACATTCATCATGTCTCGGGTTCCTTCATTCCAATACCTATCAACCATTTTCACATTGACTAGACACCTTCATTTATTACTGGACCCAGACTGAATGGGAGTAATTATCTCCAATGGTCTTCATCGGTTCTCATGTTCATCTAAGGGACGAGCAGGAATGAATACCTTACAGGAGAAGCTGTTCAACCACTAGCGGATGATCCAAGTGCTCGTTTATGGAAGGCCGAAAACAATCTGATAATGTCTTGGTTAGTCAACTCAATGACGACATAGATTGGAGAAAATTTTTTACTGTATGAAACCGCACACGACATCTGGGTGGCCGCACGCGAGTTTTACACCAGCTAAGACAATACCTCTGCCACCTTCGAAATCGAGACTCAACTGCACGACTTGCGATAGGGGGAGCTCACTGTAACACAGTACTACAATGCACTCTCTCAGCATTGGCAGCAACTCGACATATTCGAGGAACACCCATGGAATTGTCCTGAAAACTCGAAACTCTTCAAAACTCACACTGAACACAAAAGGGTCTTCAAATTTTTGATGGGACTCAACAAAAACTTGGATGAGATTCATAGTCGTGTTCTGGGTACAAAGCCACTGCTGAATCTCAGAGAAGTTTTCTCTGAAGTCTGTCGAGAAGAGAGTAGAAAAAAGATCATGCTGGGTGATTTTTACTCTGGCACGAATCCGACGGACACAACTTCTGTCCTTGCTGATCAGAGAAAACCGCTGCTCAGTGAACCTCAGCTTGGTGCCCTAAATCACGAGCACGCCTCTGCTTTAGTCGGGCGTACTTCTGAAGCTGGAGGAAAGAAAGGGAGACCCTGGTGTGATTATTGCAAAAAACCGGGGATAAATGCTAGAAATTACATGGCAAGCCAGCAAATAGGAAAAATTACAAAAATGAAATTCAGAGCAACATTGTAATTTCAGAAGAATTATCCCCTGCAGCCAGTACTACCGAGAGCTCTCCCTTCAGTCTAGCCTAATTAGAGGCCCTCATGCAAATGTTTTCTCAGAAGGGTACTCTTGGTAATGCTTCCATTGCTCAGAGAGGTAATTCCTTACCCAGTAAAAAAGCAAATGTAGATTATTGATTCAGGATCATTTGATCATATGACTAGAGACATTACACTCTTTCATCGGTACAGTGAATGTAAGGAAATCTCATCCATCAGAATTGTTGATGGAACAAGTTCTAGAGTTGTAGGAGTTGGCTCAACTACTATATCACCAAATTTGATATTGCAGTCCGTTCTTTATGTGCATAATTTAGACTGCAATCTGCTATCTGTAAGCAAATTATGTAACGACTTGAACTGTGTTGTTAAATTTGACAAAAATTCTTGTGTTTTTCAAGACTTGACCACGGGGACGATGATTGGCAGTGTTAAGAAGGACTCAGAACTTTATCTTCTACTAGTCAAAATCTCACCTCCTAATAGACAAACTTCAAGTGGAGTATGTGCTAATTCAGTATCTGAGGATGTTTTAATATTGACGAATCTATTATGTTATGGCATTATAGATTAGGACATCCAAACTATATGTACTTAAAACAACTATTTTCTGCTTTATTCAGAAATAAAAATCCAAGTTCATTTCAATGTGAAGTATGTCAATTTTCTAAACATACTCGCAATTCATATCCCAGTATTGCTTACAAATCCTCAAAACCCTTTGCATTGATTCATATTGATGTTTGCGGACCGGCACGGATAAAAAATATTACTGGTACAAAATGATTTGTCTCCTTTATTGATGGTTACATTAAAATAATATGGGTCTATCTGATGAAAGAAAAATCTGAGATTGGTGAAATCTTTCAAAAATTCAATACTATGATTCAAACCCAATTTCAAACAAAAATACAAGTGTTGAAAACAGATAATGCATGTGAATATTTCGCATCCAACCTAGGCAAATTCCTTTCTTGCCAAGGTATTATCCATCAAAGTTCTTGTCCCTACACCCCTCAACAAAATGGTGTTGCCAAAAGGAAAAATAGGCACATACTTAAAGTATCTCGCCCACTCATGTTTATTACAAATGTCCCTGAATACCTTTGGGGAGAGGCTATCCTTACAGCTACATACCTGATCAACAAAATGTCTTCCCGTATCCTTAAATTTAAAACATCTTATGATTCACTATTTCAAGCCTTCCCGATATCGCTCATCCTTCACACAATTCCGTTTAAAGTCTTTGGCTATTCCTGTCTATGTTCATATTCACAGTCAATTCAGAGGAAAACTTGATTCTAGAGTCCTCAAACGTATTTTGTCAGGTATTCCAATTCTCAAAAAGGTTACAAATGTTTTTATCAAATAACCAGCTGGCTCTATAACACTATGGATGTTACTTTCTTTGAGAACCAACCATTTATCCTACTCTTGATATTCAGGGAGAGACATCTGAAACTTAGAAATATCAATTGTGGGATGTGAATATCCCTCCTCTACCGACTCCTTGACAACTTTAGAAAAAGATCATCCGTTGACAACTTCAGAAAAAGATCATGTCATTGAAACCACCAAAGAACCTAAACCTATCACAGAGACTGATAATACATTACCTGCAATTAGTGAGTTGCGTGTCTGTACAAAGAGGAACAAAATTTAAGGTAAAGATAAAGTACCACTGCTCTGATACCATGAAGAAAACAAGGAGAGAAAGTTTGTGTGACGAGGAAAAAATTCTCTAATTTTCTTCTATTATACATAGGTACAAATGTGCCAAATATATAGATCTTTGGCCAAAATAAAAAACGGTCAAAAGATGCTAACAAAAAACGAAAAAATTAGTGGAGACAGCACCCAGCTGTCCTAACAATACTAGCTGTCCCTAATGTAAGTATACAAGTAGACATACATTCCTATATATGAACATTCTATAACTCTAATAAAACTAACTTACAAATTTATGCTATTGAAATACATCAACAGCTTATTTTTTAAAAAAGATCTTTAACATTTTATACATGATTAAAGAGTTTGCAATGTAAAGATCTTACAACCTCCCATATTTAAGCCGAGCCAAACACTTTTCTAGTTTCATTGTTTATACAAAGCCAATAGTTTTTAGGAGACA